ATAGATGGTGGGGAATCTCTAAAGGGAGGTAGGGAAAGAGAAAAAGAGTTGAGAAGACTACCCATTGGGTATCATGTTCACCACCTGGGTAATGGCCTCAATAGAGGCCAAATCTCACCATTATGCAAATACCCATGTACCAATCCCACAAATGTACCTCTTGAAACCAAGTTTAAGAAAAAAATAAGTAAGGGCTCAGCCGGGTATGGTGGCTCATACCTGTAATCTCAGCTTTTTGGAAGACCAAGGTGGGGTGGATTGCTTGAGTCTAGGAGTTCGAGACTAGCTTAAGTGACACAGTGATAACTCATCTTCACAAAAATAAAAAAATTAGCTGGGTGTGGTGGTGCATGCCTGTAGTTCGAGCTACTCAGGAAGTTGAGGACGAAGAATTACCTAAGCCCAGGAGGTCAGGATTGTGGTGTGACCTGATCATGCCACTGCACTCTAGCCTGAGCAACAGAATGAGATCTTGACTCAAAAATAAAATTAAAGACAAAAATAGGGACTCAATAAAAAGTCTAAGAAATAGACCAGTAAAAAAAGACTCTAGCCGGGCGTGGTAGCACACGCCTGTAGTTCCAGCTACTTGGAAGGCTGAGGCAGAAGGATCCCTGGAGCCCAGTAGGTCGAGGTTGCAGTGGTTGGGAGTGGCCACTGCACTCCAGTCTGGATGACAGAGTGACACTTCAACTCAAAAAAAAAAAAGAAAGAAAAAGAAAAGACTCATATATGTGCTTACTTGCTTTGTGTTTCTAAACAAAGATATAAACATGCCTGTATCAGGCCAACAATTTATTTCTGAGGTCCACAAAGCACTTATTTAACTCTTCTATTAGTAGAGCAAAAAGAGTAATTTTAGAAGGATTTTATATAATACTCAAGTGTCAGATCAATTCAATTAGCATACAGTGAACACTCGCCAGTAGGAATGCTCAGCTTGTAACAGAAATCCTAGATATTGCACAATCAACTTGTATTTATCAGCTCTACAGATCATTTAATGATGCCTGGATTGTTTCAGTGGCATTAACATCACAGAATGTTCTCTGACTTTAGTCTCCTACTGCCTACGTGAGAGAAGAGGAAGCATGGTTCCATAGATCATTCCCTTCACACACATACTCCCCCGCCCCCACACACCCTCCCAAGGTTTCTAGCTAACATGCACATGAACCCCAATGACTCTATTTTCCAAGTTTCCTCTAAATGACCAGCAGCATCCTGCCTCTTGGCCTTGCAGCGATGCTCACTTTGCCAGGGATAATTTTTTTTTTTTTTGAGTTGGAGTCTCACTCTGTCGCCCAGACTGGAGTGCAGTGGCCACTCCCGGCCACCGCAGCCTCGACCTGCTGGGCTCCAGCGATCCTTCTGCCTCAGCCTTCCAAGTAGCCGGAATTACAGGCATGCACTAGCACGCCCGACTGATTTTTTTTTTTTTTATTGTAGAGATGAGGTCTTGCTGCCCAGGCAGGTCTCGAACCCGTGGGCTCAGGCAATCCACTCACCTCAGCCTCCCAAAGGCGCGGGATTACAGGCTGAGCCACCGAGCCCAGTGCCAGGGATAATTTACATTCAGCTTCAAAACACCAGTCAAAAGCCCATCCCGCTTTTAAGGTCCACAATGAAATATACCACTTTCATGAAGTCTTTTCTGACTGTAAAACAGGAAAATCTGTTAGAGTCTCTCTTAAAGTTCTTTACACTTTGTAATGAAGAAAATACTAGATCTATGTGTGAGGTTTGGTCTTTTATTTTTTATTTTTTTGACTTGGAGTCTCACTCTGTCACCCAGGCTGGAGGGCAGTGGTCTGCTCACGGCCACCACTCCCTCAACCTGCTGGGTTTAGGTGATCCTTCCGCCTCAACCTTCAAGTAGCTGGAGCTACACGCATGGCCACCATGCCAGGCTAATTTTTTTGATTTATTGGAGAGATGAGGTCTCGCCAAGTTGCCCAGGCTGGTCTTAAACCTGTGGGTTCAGGCCATCCTCTCACCTTGGTCTCCCAAAGTGCTGGTATTGTAGGTGTGAGCCACCACGCCCAGCCTTGGTCTTTTATTTTTATGCCAACTATCACACAATCTTTCAGTTTTATTAGGTGGAAAACCAAATACAACACCAGGTATATGGTATGTCCCTGTAGTCTCAGTTATTTGGGAGGCCGAGGCAGGAGGATTGCTTGAGCCCAGGAATTTGAGACTAGCCTAGACAACACAGTGAGACCCTGTCTTAAACAAAAACAAAATTTACACCGTTTCCAGGTATGATTTTCAGTGCCCGACCCCTAAGAGCTGCTCTTTAAATATTAGCTGAGTAAGTACAATCACTCTTAAATTTTGCAGGCATTTTAGTGTAAGTCATGGATATAAAAGGAAATCTCTAATGGGACATGACAGCCAACTGGCAGGAGGGTAGTGTGATATAACCATTTATATAGTTTTATTAAATGGAAATATATCAAACTAAAAAATGTGATACTTTAAGTAAGATATAAATGGGTAGAGATGACATAATGACAACATTTTTATAGAAAAATGAAACCTATTATATAACAAAGTGAAGAGGGCGGAAGTACAAAGTATCCAATTCAATTCAAAATAATACGTATGCAGTACTTCCTTTCAAATCATTCACCAGAGCACTGTCAACTATTATCACTATTAAAAAAAACTTTCAGCCTGGCTCGGTGGCTCAGCCTATAATCCCGCGCCTTTGGGAGGCTGAGGTGAGTGGATTGCCTGAGCCCGCAGGTTCGAGACCCGCCTGGGCAGTGAGACCTCATCTCTACAATAAATCAAAAAACCAGCTGGGCATGGTGGTGCACACCTGTAGTTCCAGCTACTTGGAAGGCTGAGGCGGAAGGATCGCCGGAGCCCAGCAGGTTGAGGCTGCAGTGGCCGGGAGTGGCCACTGCACTCCAGTCTGGGTGACAGAGTGAGACTCCAACTCAAACAAACAAACAAAAAAAACCAAAAAACTTTCATATGATATAAGGTGCTAACTTCTTTGATAACATTAGTTTCCTCATCTGTAAAACTGAGATTTAATACTCAATAACACCTAGAAACCTAAGGTTTTTATCATAACTAAATTTTAAAATGTATATGTATCACTTGAGACATTGAAGATGCTTTAAAAAAGCTTATGTGCCAAGTATGGTGGCTCACGCCTGTAACCCCAGCACTTTGGGAGGTCGAGGTAAGCAGACTGCCTGAGCCCAGGGGTTCAAGACTAACCCGGGCAACTTGGTGAGACGTCATCTCCACAATAAATAAAAAAATTAGCTGGGCATGGTGGCACGTGCCTGTAGTTCCAGCTACTTGGAAGGCTGAGGCAGAAGGATCACCTGAGCCCAGCAGTTTGAGGTTGTAGTGGCCATGAGTGTGCCACTGCACTCTGCCTTGGGTAACAGAGTGAGACTCCAACTAAAAAAAAAAAAGATTTACTGATGATGGTGCTTACAAGGCCTCCTGCACTCTGTTATGTGTGCAGGGAAGCAAGAGAGAACTGATGTTGATAGCAGGATGGTGGTTTACACTGGAACATCAATAAATCATCTTCTCCTCAACCATACGCACTGCTTATTTAAATGTAACTAGTCCCTCTCTTCATGCTTCAAGGACATACTATAAACACTATTGCCATAATTCTACCTGATTGATTCATCTTTCCAATTCGCTAGGAAGGAAGGAGCTATTTATTTGTTCAAATCAGTATTTGAGCAGAAATATGAAGCAGAAAACTAAAAACCATATCTAGTTACTCTTCTCTTTTATTTGGGGCTGAGGTAAGCCAGGGAGATAGTGTTAAGAGGGGTCCAGGTGATGGAAAGATTGGGAAAAAGTTTCTATATTTTGACTCATTTGGTCAAATTAATCATCGACACAGGGAAATTATCTGACTCTCTGTCTCACTTTCTTTGTATAAATCCAGGAAGCTGGTTGTTGAGTAAACAATAAAAACAGTTGGGTGTGGTTCTTGTCTGTTTTCTTCAGAATGCTTTGGATACCTGGGATACCACTGAAACCTACATATTCTTAAACCACAAAGTGGGCTGTTAGTGAACTTATGCAGAATTTTCATTGTAGTGAGTCTTGTCAACAAAATGTTTTAAAGACATTTAGTCAAAGGTGCATGAAGCTTTGTATTAAAAATATTAAGTAGTCAGGCACAGTGGCTCAGGCCTGTAATCCCAGCACTTTGGGAGGTGGAGACAAGAGGATTCCCTAAGCCCAAGGGTTTAAGACCAGCCTGGGCAACTTGGCAATACCTCATCTCTACAAAAAAAATTAGCCAGGCATGGTGGTGCATGCCTGTAGTCCTGGCTACTTGGAAGGCTGAAGTGAAAGGATCGCCTGAACCCAGCAGGTTGAGGCTGTGGTGGCTGTGATCGTGCACTGTAGCCTGGGCGACAGAGTGAGACTAACTCAAAAAAGAAAAAGCTTCAGAACATTTTCCCTTCAGAAAAAAGGAATTTAAACATGGCCCAAATCTGGGGTCTCAGTCAGCAGGTAATAGTGTTCTTTAAAACCATCTCTAGGATAACAATGAGCCCATCAATCATTTGTTCCAGGAAACTTAAGAAAAACAAATGACATAACACATTTGGCTGGGGTGCACTGTGTTATGCTTTTAAATGTTCCATAAGCTGGGCTCGGTGGCTCAGCCTGTAATCCCGCGCCTTTGGGAGGCTGAGGTGAGTGGATTGCCTGAGCCCACGGGTTCGAG